ACAGTAAGAGACAGAATAACAACAACAAAATCCATAAAAACGCATGTCAAAAATGTTATAAATTGATTTGCATTTTAATGAGGGAAATAAGTATTTGACCCCCTCTCAATCAGAAAGATTTCTGGCTCCCAGGTGTCTTTTATACAGGTAATGAGCTGAGATTAGGAGCACACTCTTAAACGGAGTGCTCATCTCGTGGAGTTGCAATGATCATGATAACGGTGAGGAATCAGCCCAGAACTACACAAGAGGATCTTGTCAATGATCTCAAGGCAGCTGGGACCATATTCACCAAGAAAACAATTGGTAACACACTACGCCGTGGACTGAAATCCTGCAGCGCCCGCAAGGTCCCCCTGCTCAAGAAAGTACATATACATGCCCGTCTGAAGTTTGCCAATGAACATCTGAATGATTCAGAGGACAACTGGGTGAAAGTGTTGTGGTCAGATGAGACCAAAATGGAGCTCTTTGGCATCAACTCAACTCGCCGTGTTTGGAGGAGGAGGAATGCCTATGACCCCAAGAACACCATCCCCACCGTCAGCATGACAATAACCCAAAACACACGGCCAAGGCAACAAAGGAGTGGCTCAAGAAGAAGCACATTAAGGTCCTGGAGTGGCCTAGCCAGTCTCTAGACCTTAATCCCATAGAAAATCTGTGGAGGGAGCTGAAGGTTCGAGTTGCCAAACGTCAGCCTCGAAACCTTAATGACTTGGAGAAGATCTGCAAAGAGGAGTGGGACAAAATCCCTCCTGAGATGTGTGCAAACCTGGTGGCAAACTACAAGAAACATCTGACCTCTGTAATTGCCAACAAGGGTTTTGCCACCGAGTACTAAGTCATGTTTTGCAGAGGGGTCAAATACTTATTTCCCTCATTAAAATGCAAATCAATTCATAACATTTTTGACATGCGTTTTTCTGGATTTTTTTGTTGTTATTCTGTCTCTCAATGTTCAAAAAAACCTACCATTAAAATTATAGACTGATCATTTCTTTGTCAGTGGGCAAACGTACAAAATCAACAGGGGATTAAATACTTTTTTCCCTCACTGTATCTGGTCTTTGTGTGTTTGACCTATTTCTTGAACCTCTAATGAATTACCCCAGGTCTAATCTCTCGTGATTATTATTTGGTTTCTGTTTAACCAAGATTTGTAATGTACCATTTAGATGTTTCCACCACGATTTGTTCTCAGTCAGTGTCGCCATGGGTTGGTGTTTACGCGAGTTATTTCTGATACCCAGAGGTTAGATATATAGCTTAGTTTGCACTTAAGGTTTCGTGATTGCAGGAGCTCATGTACTTTGGCTTATTTGGTGAAGTCACGCCGATAGAAAGAGGCAAAGCAAATATAGGAGTCATCTGTTTTGGGTCGCTCTCCGTCCTTCTCCTTTCTGTGACCCCGGGCGGCTGCTTTACATCAAATTGATGTTTGTTTGCCCTCTAAACCCCTCTCTTCGCGGTGTCCGCTAAGGGAGGGGACGCACCTTTCATACGTTTTATGGCTACCATGTGTTTGTGTCAAATTGTTGGAAGACAAAGGCGACCGGGGAGGCTCTAATTTCATGGAATACATTTATCTGGTCTTTGTGTGTTTGACCTATTTTGCCTCATCCCCTCTCGATAACCCTCGGTTTAATACTGCAGAAATATTATTTTGGTTTATGTTTCCCAAGATTTGTGATTCAACATTGTCATCATTAGATGTTGCCTCCGGTATTTCAAGGGTTTTATTAACTTTTGCTCCCTGTCTGTATCCAGGAATCCGTGCTTTTTATTCTCGAGGTCAGAGATATCCCGAGGCTGGAGATATAACCAAGCCCTCACTTTCTTGACTGCCAGAATTCAAATTCCTTGGTTCTCTTCAAGTTACATAGATAGAAATATACAATAAGAAACAATATGTAAGTTGAATAAGGGTGAAAAAAATAAGTAATAATAAAGCGACTAATATAGACTGCTGTCTATCATGTCGACTTATTCTTATAGCCAAGCTTTAACTTTTTCTGTAAAAAACTAAAAATATCAGTTATAATGTCCATTTGCCCAGTGCTCTGTGATTCTGGATATTTGTTTGTGAATTGTCCTTTGGCAATCTGGAGATTTTGCAGATAGTTGTTAACCTCCATTTGCCCCGGAGTTTATTATTTAATGGCCTTTTATGACCTCCAGATGTTTGGTGCTTGTGAGAGGTAGCGGGTTTGAGGGTGTTTTATTTATTTATTTGATCGATTATATATTTTTTAAATGGCAGAATTTTTTTTCATATTAATTTTTGGAAAAAGGCTTATATATACAACATTCCGCCCTTTTTAAATGATCAGTGGGCAAATGTCCACGGGTTATTTTTGAACAAAATAAATGCCTTTTTCCATCATGAACCATTGACTGTCCTCAAGTTTCGGCTGCTATTTCCTTACAACGCACGCGTACGTGTCACAAACTTAGCATGGTTACATTTGAAATAAGAAAAGAAAGGAAAAAAAATATTAAGGCAACATGTTACATCAGTTCTTATCAATTATTTTTACTGTGATTTTGTTTTAGTTCCTGGGAAACGCTAGGCAGCGGTTTCGAACACGGTTGTACACTGTTTTCCTTATGCTACCTCTTTGCCACATGTTTACCAAGTTATGGGTAACCTCACTGACACTTTTGGTCAAGAGTGTATCATCAGTTTTCTCATGGCCAGGTATTTTAGAGTAACCTATGACCTTTTCACGCAACATCACAACATCATCCTCCTGGTTCATCGTCGTTATGGCTTTGGCCAAATGACATCCCTGTCGCACCCCAAGGTGTACAGGGAATGGCTCTGACTCCCGGCCACGTAGTTTTACCCGGGCCCGCTCACCATCATGAAGGTCCTTAATGATCGTGAGCAGAGGGTCAGGGACTCCAAAAGCATGAACAACCCAGAGGCCAGGTCTACTGATGGTATCATAGGCCTTGACCAAGTCAATAAAGCAGAGATGTAGGTCTTGCCAGGACCTTTCCCGGCGCACTGAGGCGTGAGATGCCCCTGTAGTTGTTACAGTCTGTGCGGTTGCCCTTCTTAAAGAGCGGGACCAACAGGGCATCCTACTAATCCTGCGGAACCCGTCCAGTGGTCCAGACTGTTGTTATGATGTCATATAGGACAGTCCGTGCACAAACGCCACCCTCCCTCAGCATTTCGCTTGGGAGATCATCTCTACCCGGTGCCTTTCCTGGTCTCAGACTCCGGATCGCTCTCAGTACTTCCTCAACAGATGGCACCTCAGCCAGCCACTCACAGGGGGTGACTTTTTCCAATATTTGAGGCACCACAGCCTCAGCAGGGTCATCCCCACTTTGTGCCACGATGTTTTCCTGGCTGAGGAATTTCCCCTACCCCAGAATCTCATAAAAATGCTCAGCAAATCTGCAAACCTGTTCCTGGGGGTCAGAGATTGGATCGTTGTTTTTCACCCTAATGATGGTAATTGGTGTGGCTCTGCAGATTACTTTTTTTGATGGAGTTAAATAGAGATTTGTGATCGCGGGCCACTGAGGCAGACTCCATCTCCTCAGCAACCCGCGACCACCACCCATCCTTGCAGCGCCTCACGCCTCTCCGAACCTCCGAGCGAAGGCTGCGGTAAGCCTCCTCATTCTCTGACGTGGGATTCTGTAGCCGATGACAGTGGGCCTGTCGCTTTTTTCTCAACCATCCTGAACACCTCCTCTGTCAGCCAGGGTCTCTGGGGAGGTCTGGACCGCGTACCCAAAGCAGCCATTGCAGCTGCATGAGTCACAGTCCTAAACCTCGCCCATTTACCCTCGACATCAGGAGGCGTGGGGGACGATGCCAACCCCAGCCGCACGCGATGATGAAATTCTCGCTTGCAACTTTCATCAGATAACTGAGACCAGACCACTTTAGGTTGGAATGGGGTCCTGGGTGTACACCCACCACCGGAGTAGAAGAATGGCAGGCGCATCTTACAGATGACTGGTCGATGGTCAGAGGGCAGATCAGCTCCACGGTAGGTCCTGGTGTCAAGGACATGGGCTCGCATCCGCTGGTCCGTCACTATGTAGTCCAGAAGATGTTCTTGCTTGGACCCGGCATGCATCCATGATGTTGTGTGGATGCGCTGATGCCGGAACAGCGTGTTGGTAATTACAAGCCCATGGGCTGCACAAAAATCTAGCAGCCTCCTACCGTTGTTATTGAGCTGATCTGGCCCATGCCCTCCAATCACTCCAGACCAGGTGCCAGCATCATGACCAACATACATACACGTTCGTACATACACGTACGTACATACACGTGCGTACATACACGTACATACATACACGTACGTACATACACGCGTACACAAGTGCCGTGGTAATGTCACCTCCACTTGGTGGCAAATGTCGACAGGCGATACGGGTGCGTGCGTGCGAGTGTGCTACTGCGCACTGCACACAGGTGATGATTGCGCTGATACAGGTAGGCAGGGAGAGGGAGATAGGGGAGGGTGGAAAGAGAGGGAGGGATGTGGGGGGGGTAAAGAAGGAGGGTTGAGGAGGAGGGGGGGCTAGAGGGAGGGAGATATGTGGGGGCGGGGCTAGAGGGAGGGGGGGAGAGGGATGTGGGTGGGGGGGCTAGAGGGAGGGGGGGATGTTGGGGGTGGGGTGGGGGTGGAGGAACAGGGAGGGATGTGAGGAGATGGCTCTCGAGACGGGGAGGTTGGGGGTTGTTTGGCGAGGAGGGCAAGAGGGAGTGTGGGGGGGGGGGGGCTAGAGGGAGGGATGGGGGGAGGGAGAGATGATGCTGGGTGGAGGGAGGGAGAAGCGGGGGATGGCTGATGCAGGTAAGAGGAGGCGATGCCAGAGATGGACAAAGAAAATTCGGGGGGTGGGGGGGGGGGTGTGAAGAAGCTGCAGCGGTGGCGGCGGTGTTGAAGGTGGGGGGAGGAGGATGAGGAGGAGGATGAGGAGGAGGAGGAGGTGTCTGGTTCAGGTGCAAGGGAGGAGGGAGGCACACACACGGGCAGGCGCTCAGTGGGGCAGCGAGCAACGCTCCCGCGATCGACTGAGACGCGGGCGAACCGCACGGAACCTCACGCGAGACCTCTCAGGTCGCGCCAAGCCCCGAGCGCGAGAGGTAAGGAGTGAGGAGTGAGGGGTGAGAGGTAAAGAGTGAGGAGTGAGGGGTGAGGGGTAAGGAGTGAGGGGTGAGGGGTGAGGGGTGAGGAGTGAGGGGTAAGGAGTGAGGGGTGAGGAGTGAGGGGTGAGGAGTGAGGAGTGAGGGGTGAGGAGTGAGGGGTGAGGAGTGAGGAGTGAGGGGTGAGGAGTGAGGGGTGAGGAGTGAGGGGTGAGGAGTGAGGGGTGAGGGGTGAGGAGTGAGGGGTGAGGAGTGAGGGTGAGGAGTGAGGAGTGAGGGGTAAAGAGTGAGGGCGAGGAGTGAGGGTGAGGAGTGAGGAGTGAGGGTGAGGAGTGAGGAGTGAGGGGTAAGGAGTGAGGGTGAGGAGTGAGGAGTGAGGGTGAGGAGTGAGGGGTGAGGGGTGAGGAGTGAGGGGTAAAGAGTGAGGAGTGAGGGGTGAGAGGTAAAGAGTGAGGAGTGAGGGGTGAGGGGTAAGGAGTGAGGGGTGAGGGGTGAGGGGTAAGGAGTGAGGAGTGAGGGGTGAGAGGTAAAGAGTGAGGAGTGAGGGGTGAGGGGTAAGGAGTGAGGGGTGAGGGGTAAGGAGTGAGGAGTGAGGGGTGAGGGGTAAGGAGTGAGGAGTGAGGGGTGAGGAGTGAGGGGTGAGGAGTGAGGAGTGAGGGGTGAGGGGTAAGGAGTGAGGAGTGAGGGGTAAGGAGTGAGGAGTGAGGGGTGAGGGGTAAGGAGTGAGGAGTGAGGGGTAAGGAGTGAGGGGTGAGGAGTGAGGGGTGAGGAGTGAGGAGTGAGGGGTGAGGAGTGAGGGGTGAGGAGTGAGGAGTGAGGGGGTGAGGAGTGAGGGGTGAGGAGTGAGGGGTGAGGAGTGAGGGGTGAGGGGTGAGGAGTGAGGGGTGAGGAGTGAGGGTGAGGAGTGAGGAGTGAGGGGTAAAGAGTGAGGGCGAGGAGTGAGGGTGAGGAGTGAGGAGTGAGGGTGAGGAGTGAGGAGTGAGGGGTAAGGAGTGAGGGTGAGGAGTGAGGAGTGAGGGTGAGGAGTGAGGGGTGAGGGGTGAGGAGTGAGGGGTAAAGAGTGAGGAGTGAGGAGTGAGGGGTAAAGAGTGAGGAGTGAGGGTGAGGAGTGAGGAGTGAAGGTGAGGAGTGAGGGGTGAGGGGTGAGGAGTGAGGAGTGAGGGGTAAAGAGTGAGGAGTGAGGAGTGAGGGGTGAAGAGTGAGGGGTCAGGAGTGAGGAGTGAGGAGGAAGTAGTAAGGAGGAAGTAGTCAGGAGGAAGGAGTGAGGAGTGAGAGGTAAAGAGTGAGGAGTGAGGAAGGAGTGAGGAGGAAGGAGTGAGGAGTGAGGAAGGAGTGAGGAGTGAGGGGTGAGGAGTGAGTGAGGAGGTAGGAGTGAGGAGTGAGGGGTGAGGAGTGAGGAAGGAGTGAGGAGGTAGGAGTGAGGAGGTAGGAGTGAGGAGTGAGAGGTAAAGAGTGAGGAGGAAGTAGTAAGGAGTGAGGAGGTAGGAGTGAGGAGTGAGGAGGTAGGAGTGAGGAGTGAGGTAGGAGTAAAGAGTGAGGAGGTAGGAGTGAGGAGGTAGGAGTGAGGTAGGAGTAAGGAGTGAGGAAGGAGTGAGGAGTGAGAGGTAAAGAGTAAAGAGTGAGGAGGTAGGAGTGAGGAGGTAGGAGGTAGGAGTGAGGGGTTCGACTCGCCTCTCCGGTGACCTCCATCACAGCCTCCTCTCTGCGCGGAGACTCCGAGGTCCGGATGCGTCTTAAATTGTTGTTTTGTGTCGTCGTCGTCATTGTCGTTGTTGTCGTTGTTGGTGCGAGACTGCGTTGGCAGTGGTGCACGCGTAATAGACAACAACAACAGCCAACAACAACCACAACCAACAACAACATCCGATAATGTGTTGAGTGCTAACAACGACGGAGGAGACGGAGCGATGAATTGAGCTCGCGGTGTGTTCGAGGCAGGCGGGCTGACGGCTGGATCGCGTCCCGCGGCTGTTATGATGGGTGGGCGGATGCTTTCAATACAGCAGTGGATCGATCAAAGCCCATTATAACGACGACGATGACGACGACAGGGGAATGAGACATTGCTGGCCATGTTATAGACGAGCCTCCTGGGGTACTGCGAATAGGCACGGCGCCCGAAACGTCGCCCTCGCGCGCCTAAGTGCGTGTTTGTGAAGCTCGCAACGCGCTCGGTGGCACAAGGGATGAGACGACGACAGAGGCGACGTTTGGGGAAGAAGAAGGAGCAGGAGGGCCATTGACCGAAACGTCGGCTGCTGCATTGTGTTGCATCGCGGATTCCGCGTTTTGCCCACCCGATCACCTCCCGCGGCCGTCTGTGGCCTGATAATAACAACAACAACAAACAGCAATGGTAGCGACTCGAGCGGTGAGCTCCTCTTAAAAGCGCCCGCTCAAAAATTTCGGAGGACTCAAAACGGTGACAGCGGAAGAGTCGGCGGGTCCGAGTTCGATTCCCGCTCACGGCCCAATAACGACGCTCATCGATCTGTTTTGAACCGCTCCTGGGGCGGACAACCCGGCCCTCCCTCACCTCCACACCTAGGTCGACTGGGCCTTAAATGAGTAAGTAAACATCGTGAGACAAAGGCGGCCCGGTGTGGTGCTGGCGACCCCACTCACCTGTCGCCGTGTCGGCGCTGGCTACCCGCACTTGCCCCAGCTGTTAGCCAAAGGCTACACGGGCGATCTTTATCTCTGCGCTTAGGTGGGGCTTTTCTCTCCTCGCCCTCTCTCTCCTCTCTCGCTCTATATGTCAGCATTTGCGCTCTTTTGTTGTAGTTTGGCCATACTTCACCACGCCGGTCAAGTGCCGAGGTCCTCTTCGGGTACAACTCGCAGGCGGCGTCCGACGTGATGGGGCCGACCCTGCTTGGGTCGTGCGGTTCACAGCCGCAGTGCGCTAACCATTGCGCCACCGCTCCGGCGTGAGTGCACGCATGTGCGTTTTAACTTCTTTCGCACTGTATGTGGCCAAACCGTGCTCATCGGAGGTGCGGGGGAAGGACAACAAACTACGGGTCTCTGTGTGGGTCTATGTGTCTCTGTGTGAGTCTATGGGTCTCTGTGTGAGTCTATGGGTCTCTGTGTGGATCGATGGGTCTCTGTGTGAGTCTAGGGGTCTCTGTGTGGGTCTCTGTGTCTCTGTGTGAGTCTATGTGTCTCTGTGTGAGTCTGTGTATCTGTGTGGGTCTATGTGTCTCTGTGTGAGTCTATGTGTCTCTGTGTGAGTCTGTGTCTCTGTGAGTCTATGGGTTTTTGTGTGAGTCTACGGGCCTCTGTGTGAGTCTATGGGTTTTTGTGTGAGTCTACGGGTCTCTGTGTGGGTCTATGTGTCTCTGTGTGAGTCTGTGGGTCTCTGTGTGAGTCGATGGGTCTTTGTGTGACTCAATAGGTCTCTGTGTGAGTCTATGTGTTTCTGTGTGAGTCTATGGGTTTCTGTGTGAGTCGATGGGTCTCTGTGTGAGACTACGGGTCTCTGTGTGAGTCTATGGGTCTTTGTGTGAGTCAATGCGTTTCTGTGTGAGTCTGTGTCTCTGTGTGAGTCTATGGGTCTCTGTGTGAGTCTATGTGTCTCTGTGTGAGTCTATGTGTCTATGTGTGAGTCTATGTGTCTCTGTGTGAGTCAATGTGTCTCTGTGTGAGTCGATGGGTCTCTGTGTGAGACTAGGGGTCTCTGTGTGGGTCTATGTGTCTCTGTGTGAGTCTATGTGTCTTTGTGTGAGTCTATGTGTCTCTGTGTGAGTCTGTGTCTCTGTGTGAGTCTGTGTCTCTGTGTGAGTCTATAGGTCTCTGTGTGGGTCGATGGGTCTCTGTGTGAGTCAATGGGTCTCTGTGTGAGTCAATGGGTCTATGTGTGAGTCTTTGGGTCTCTGTGTGAGTCTACGGGTCTCTGTGTGAGACTACGGGTCTCTGTGTGAGTCTGTGCCTCTGTGTGACTCAATAGGTCTCTGTGTGAGTCTCTGTGTCTCTGTGTGAGTCTATGGGTCTCTGTGTGAATCTATGGGTCTTTGTGTGAGTCTATGGGTCTCTGTGTGAGTCGATGGGTCTTTGTGTGAGTCTATGGGTCTCTGTGTGAGTCGATGGGTCTTTGTGTGAGTCTATGGGTCTCTGTGTGAGTCTATGGGTCTTTGTGTGAGTCTATGTGTCTCTGTGTGAGTCTATGGGTCTCTGTGTGAGTCAATGGGTCTCTGTTTGAATCGATGGGTCTCTGTGTGAGTCGATGGGTCTTTGTGTGAGTCTATGGGTCTCTGTGTGAGTCTGTGTCTCTGTGTGAGTAAATGGTTCTCTGTGTGAGTCTATGGGTCTTTGTGTGAGTCTATGGGTCTCTGTGTGAATCTATGGGTCTTTGTGTGAGTCGATGGGTTTTTGTGTGAGTCTATGGGTCTCTGTGTGAATCTATGGGTCTTTGTGTGAATCTATGGGTCTTTGTGTGAGTCTATGTGTCTCTGTGTGAGTCTATATGTCTTTGTGTGAGTCTATGGGTCTCTGTGTGAGTCAATGGGTCTCTGTTTGAGTCGATGGGTCTCTGTGTGAGTCTATGTGTCTCTGTGTGAATCTATGGGTTTTTGTGTGAGTCTATGGGTCTCTGTGTGAGTCGATGGCTCTTTGTGTGAGTCGATGGGTCTTTGTGTGAGTCGATGGGTCTTTGTGTGAGTCTATGGGTCTCTGTGTGAATCTATGGGTCTTTGTGTGAGTCTATGGGTCTTTGTGTGAGTCGATGGGTCTTTGTGTGAGTCGATGGGTCTTTGTGTGAGTCTATGGGTCTCTGTGTGAGTCAATGGGTGTCTGTTTGAGTCGATGGGTCTCTGTGTGAGTCTGTGTCGCTGTGTGAGTCTATGGGTTTTTGTGTGAGTCTATGGGTCTCTGTGTGAGTCTTTGGGTCTATGTGTGAGACTACGGGTCTCTGTGTGAGTCTGTGTCTCTGTGTGAGTCAACGGTTCTCTGTGTGAGACTACGGGTCTCTGTGTGAGTCTGTGTCTCTGTGTGAGTCAATG